CGTTTCCATCCAAAGGCTGCCATCCACCCACTTTATGTGACTACCCCATGTTATTATATCTAATTCCTTTTCATCAGGTAAGTTATTTATCTTGTATTAATTAGAACGTGGCTATATTAAACTCTAATAATTTTCAGGGTTTGGGGGGAAGGAGATGGGTTTTTTTTTTATAAGTTCTCTTGCAGAATTAGAAGCAGTTTAACAATCAGCTCCATTTCTGGTTCAGGGTTAAGGTAACAGGAGAAGCAAAGATGCCAGTTTTCACAATGACTGAACTTTCAGGTTCAGTTAAGCTGAAAGTTAAGCTAGAGGAAGTAAGATGTTCTCAGGGAACAAAGAACAAGATCTGACAATAGAATCAAATCCACTGATGACGCCCACAGGTGCAGGCACGTAAAACGGACCTAAGCATCTGATGTAAAAAGAAGCAGACAGTGGCCTCAAACACTCCGATTAATGCTTACTCTACGTGAAATCTGAAAAAGGCAGCGTCAAAGTAGCATATACATGATTAAACACAAGGGAAGGGATTACGGGAGAGGGAGAGAAGTACAGGGGTAAGGAGAGGGATGAGGATGGCTGAAATGTTATATACACCCACGAAAATATCACATCAAAGCCCAAGATTTGGGGCTTTTCCCTAGAATGAGATTTTTTTTTTTTTTTTTTTGATACGGGGTCTCGCTATGCAGTTCAGGCTGGCCTTGAGCTTACTTAGCAGCCCAGGCTGGTCTTGAACTCGCAACGATCCTCCTGCCTCAGCCTCCCGAGTGCTGGGATTACAGGCATGAGCCACCACCCCCGACTTCTACAATGAGATTTTATCGGTACATTTTAAATATACATAATGATCACATTCATCATAGAGAATTTGTATGTCTTGATTCTTTTTTTTCCACTCTGCTCTTTCCCTCCCCATTTACAAGTTTTGTTTCAATTTTTTCCTTTTCTACTTTTTTAAATTCCTTCTTTCCTTTCTCCATCCTTGTGCTCTCGTTCCCTTCCCCATTTGAACATTTTCTTCCTATTTCACAATACCTACTATACATTTTGGTCCTTGTTTATACTTTGGCTTCTGACACAAGAGAAACAATGCAGGATTCACACATGCAACCGTTTATTTCATCTAAGAGAACTCAAGGTGCATTCATTTACCTAGAGACGTCTTGAGCTTATCCTTCGTCATAGCAGAGTAATACTCCATGTATAAAAACCCACATCTTTATCCATTCAACAGTTGATGGGCATTTGAAAACCCAATATTTTGTAAAATTAATAAACACTAACAGAAAATATTTTTAAATCCTTCCAATTATCAATAAACTAAGAAAAAGAATAGAGCTTGAACAGAATAGAATTTAAGCTTCTTTAATATTTTTTAAAGTGTAACTTTTGGGGGCTGGGGATTTAGCTCAGCGGCAAAAGTACCTGCCTTGCAAGCAGACAGTCGTGAGTTCGATCCCCAGTACTGATAAAAGGGAAAAAGACAAAAAAAAAAAGTGTAACTTTTAAGAACTTAAAGAATTTTATAAGTGAAACAGATATAAATACATTAATGATCAAATCAGAAAGAGAAAGTACACAAAAAAAGATAAGTTTCATTTCTGTTGGGGTGTTTTGTTTTGTTCTGGGGATTTTTGAGACAGTCTCACCGTAGAGTTACGGTGACCCCCTGCTTCCACTTCCCAACTGCCAGGGTTATAGGCATGTGCCACCACACCCAGACAATAACAGTCTTATTTTTAACTAAGGGACTAGAACTACTTACAAACTCCTATTTTTTTTTTTCTTCTCTAAAAAATTTTGGGCCAGCATTCAACTCAAAATATATATGTTTAGGACTGGGGATTTAGCTCAGCAGCATCCCCGGTACCACAAAAAAAAAAAAAAAAAAAAAAAAATATATATATATATATATATATATATATATATATAGACAGATAGATAGATAGATCCAAAATGTTTCTACTTACATGTAAATGTGAGTGTCAGGTGTTCCAGTAAGAGAATTAACCGACAAGAAAGAATTTTATGGAGCCAAGTAAAGTGGGAAACAGGGAGAAATTTAAAGCTAGAAGAAATTGGTTTGTTTGAAGGACATTAAAACCAGAAGATGGAAGGGTTCAGCAAGGTTAAGACTAAAGAAAATCACATGAGCAAGATACTAACTGATTAGGAAAATTTGATAAGGTGTCTGCTCAAGTTTCCAACAAAACGGGTGAGCTGTGTGACCAATGCACGGAAGTAAGAAACACGAGCACTGTCACTGAAGGTCAACGTAAGTGCTGAGCGGAGTGGCACGTGCCTGTAGTCGCAGCACTCTGGGAGGCTAAGGCAGAAAAATCACTGGTGTCCAGAAGTTCAGATCCAGCTTGGGCCCCATATCAAGACCCTGTCTTGAAAATAACAATAGTAATAACAGTGAAAACAACTCGGCAATCTAGGGCTTAGATTATGAATAGAAATATATGCGTATTCAAATAAACAAGAAATATTAGCCAAAGCAATCAGTAAAGAGAAACAAATAAAAGGGTTACATTATTTGCAGATGACAAGACCTTCTACTTATAAGACCCAAAAAATTCCACTAAAAGACTCCTGGTATTAAAGCCAGGCATGGTGGCACACACCCCTGTAATCTCAGCGCTTGGCAGGTTGACACAGGAGAATCTTCGCAAGTTTGAGATCAGCCTGAGCTACAAAGTGAGCACAAGGCCAGCCTGAAATGCACAGTGAGACCCTGTCTCAAAAAATACCGAAAAAAAAAAAAAGAGCCCTAGAATTAATAATCACATACAGCAATATAACAGGATACAAAATTGAAAAAACAAAACTCAATAGCATTCCTATGCACTAATAATGAATACACTAAGAAAGAAATTAGGAAAACAATATCATTTATATAGCATCAAGAAGAATTAAATACTTAGGAATTAACCTAACCAAGAAAGTGAAGGACCACTATAACGAAACTACCCCTCTCTAAAAGACTAAAGAGGGTATCAGAAAATGGAAAGACCCCCAGTTCTTACACAGGCAGAACCAATACAGTCAAAATGGTCATTCTTCTAAAATTGATGTACGGATTTAACACAATCTCAATCAAAATACCAACAGCATTCCTCACAGACGTAAAGAAAATAATCCTATAATTCATATGGAGCCAGAGGAGATCAAGAAAAGCAAACACAACCCTGAGTAACAATAGCAAAGCAGGAGGCATCACAATCCCACATCTGAAGTTATACTACAAAGTTACAGTGAACTTGTAAGTTACAGTGTAACTTGTAACGAAGAACATGGTCCTTGCACAAAAGCAGAAAATGCAGATTCAGTGGGACAGAAAAGAAGAAGCAGAAACAACAGTAGTTACCTTGAACTTGACATCAAAGGAGGAAAGAGACAGCCTCTTTCATAAACAGTGCTGGGAAAACTGGATACCCGCACGCAGAAGATTGGGGTCCAGACCCATACATTTCACCATGCACTAAACCAAAAACTAAAATTGATTGACGATCTAAATGTTAAAACAGAAACAATCTGCTGGAGGATAAATTAGCTAAAATACAAGGCAGGCATGTAGCATGCGTCTGGTTAAGGTTTGTGTCTAGATACCCCCGCCCCAAAGCCTCATGCAGTCACAGAGGTTTGGAAGGTGGCTGTATCTACAGTGTGTGATTGATTCACAGTGCAATGCTGGGATTAAGGGCGGGTGCTTGCTGGATCAGTCCACTGATTAGACTGGCACCACCCTAATCCCATGGGCTAGATACAATATAAAGGGACAGAAGAAGCTTGTCTCTCTCTTCTCATGTGTGCTTTTGCTGTCTTCCACGGCCATGAACTGTTTCTCCTCTGGAACAGTCACTCTGCCTTGCAGCCAGGTCCCCAACAATTGAGACTGTATCTTACTCTAGAAAGAATGGCTATCATTAAGCTATCATATAATAATGAATGTTGGCTAGGCTATAGGGAAGAGAAACATTTCTAAGTTGCAGGAGGCAATGTAAACTAGTACCACCACTTACAGAGAACAATGTGGAGATTCTTCCAAAACCTAAAAAGAAAAAGTCCATTCAACCCAGCTATTCCGCTTTTAGGAATCTTCTTGAAAATGTGATAGTCATATTATAGTAATACATGGATAGCCATATTTACAGCAGCATCATTCATAATAGCTTGGAAACGGCCTTTATGCTCATCAAAAGATGAATGGATAAAAAAGTGGCATTTCAACACATTAGAATATTAGTTTGCCATAAAGAAGGCCCACATGTTTAAATATCGCCCGGTTCCTCTTACATGAGACACCCAAAATATAAATACAGGACATCTGATAGAACGTAGGGAGATCTTTTTGAAACGTGAAAGGGAACAAAAGACAGAGAGTGAGGGAAGGAAGGAAGGGAAAAGAGACTAAAAAGAGAGAATTTTTAAAAAGCGGAAATAGAGCTTTTTCAAAAGGAAAGAGAAATAAGTCTTGAAGTGAGCATGGCAGGATGAGAAGGGAAGGAAACAAAAAAGAATTAAGATGTGTTATGTGCTATCCTAGGTAAATGCAATCATTCTGTACTGCAAACATGCACTAATAAGAAAATAAAAACTAATCAGAAAATAAAAATCATGCACAAATTAGAGGTCATTACAACTGAGGTTTTCATTTCAATGAAAAAACAATAAATGTGAACAGTTTTTTTTTTTTAATTATTAAGCTAGGTCAGAAAGCACTGGGTAGGGGGATCCTGATTTACCTAATAACCTACTTATACATGATTTCCTTCCCCAAGATCAAATCGCCATGTGCATTAGACCCCAACACAGTATCACATTCTGCCTGAAATTATAGCCCTGCTTAAAGAACTGCCTGCTCTCCCATCGCCTCTGCCTCCACTGTCATCCTGTTCCCTTGCTGGGTGGATTAGCAGATGGAAGCGGAGGTTAGCCCTGAGTAAAAACTAGAACACTTTGTGATTGGCCCACCCCACACTTGTAACACTTACCAACATCTCCGTAAACATACAGGCCCCTTGGAGGTTTGCTCCTTGAAAAAAGCTGCAAATTAAGAACAAATTATAAATCTCCATCTCGAAAATAATCCAACGTAGTCACATATATAATGTTTCTAACTATGCTGTCTACAGGATTTGGAGAGACTGTTACACAGGAAGTAAGGAAAAACTTGAGCTTGTAAACATCTTGTATTTCTTCTTTTGCAATGTCAAGTTCAAAAGAGGGCGCCGTGCTGGGCCGCCCTGCACCGAGCTAAGCAGCCCTGGCCAGCAAGGGAGAATTGAAACTCCTCCTGTGCCCCAGAAAGCAAATGATTCCCTTCCAAATTCAGGTGCTTCCATTCTCACTGTTGAACTACTTGTCAAAATTCTAAAAAGGAATTTAAACACACACACAGACACACATACACTCAGAAAAATACACACTTGCAGTAAATATAAATGAAGCAGAGTATTTCAGAATTTGAGGTAACATTTTGATAACCTGAAGATTCACTGTCTCCTTATTCTGAGAAAGCAATTCAATATCTTTGCATCTTAGCTGTCTCATTTGAAAAATGGAAAATACAAATATGAGCACTTTGCAGATTAAGTAATGTAGCTCAGGCATCTACATGTTATAACCAGTTAGCCACAAAAAGTAAGCGAAGATTATTTGTAGACATTTTTGTGTAAAAATATATCACAATTGACATTTTTTTGAAATATCACAAAATTTAAAGTAAAAGTAAGAATTTAATAAATCTTTAAAATTATTTAATTTGTATTTACTGTGCAGATCCTTCAGTAAGCTAAGAAATCATTCATTTTGGCTCTTCGGTATATACTTTGTAACTGTTTCCATATACTTTTTTTTTTTTTTTTGTCTTTTTGAGACAAGGTCTCACTATGCAGTTCAGGCTGGCCTTGAGCTCACTTTGTAGCCCAGGCTGGTTTCAAACTCACAACGATCCTCCTGCCTCAGCCTCCCGAGTGCTGGGATTACAGGCGTGAGCCACCACGCCCGGCTCTTATTTCCATATGCTTTCAACACATTTTTTATTCTTCACTGCCCTTAAGGAAGGATTTGTCACTTACATGTTCACAGTTGAAACATTTTTAAGATTCAATAATAAAACACAAAGGGAATGGCTAGGTATCTATGGAGTAGTAAAAACACAGCCAACCTCGGTGGCTTTTTGCAGTGGATAGTTGACTAATAAGCTTGATTCTTGTATGGGTGAAGGCCATTACCTAGCTCAGTGGCCTAAGTGCCTGCCTGGCAAGCGCAAAGTCATGAGTCCGTCCTGGTACCAAAAAAAAAAGTAAGGGCTTTGTAATTAACTGAGTCAAGAAAGCAGCATCCATTCTAGCTTTCTTTAAAAATCAAAATCATGGTAATAATCTCAGCATTCATTACAGCCAAACAAATTGGAAGGAGAAATGTTTGTTTCGGAAAGCCCTAAAAGCACAGAGGGTAGCACAGCAAATAAATCAGTATTACTCGACAGTGTTGGCTGGAGTCTTGAAGAGCCCTCCACCCAAAAATGCTATAAAAAAATTCAGAGGATGGAAATAAAATGTTCACTGCCCAGGCAATAAGTGTTTCAGAAGAACTTGAACGTCTACGGCAGTGGGGTGAACCCACGGCATGCGTGCCGCAAAAGGCTGTTTGCAATTATTGCAAGCTCTGAAAGGTTCGCCATCACTGACCTACGTATTTCCCATTTAATGATGAATAAGCAGAGCTAGCCTTAATCTGTTTTCAGCTAGTGAAAGTCTAAGTGTATAACCTTGTTATCTCCTAGAAACCTCAGATAGCCTCCAGGGGAGGAGCTTGCTCACTGGTCACGGGCAGAGTCAGAGGATTGGAGCCGCTTTTCTCTATTCAGGAAAGGCCATTTCCTAGGTGTATAGGTGTGTTTCTTCTGCCAGGCTGCACTGGCACAGCTGTCTATTCCACTGTGACTGTGTCCCCTCCTCCCTCCTCATAGTGACACAATTTACCAACGATAGGATTGTGCTGTGTGGTGTGCAGCAAGGGAACGCAGGTACCCAGGGCGGCCAGACTCCTGCAGGTGACTCAGCTCCACGGGCAAAGCCCAGGAACCCCAGCAATATTCCCACACAAGAACATTCATGGCAGTGCCAAGGTAGCAGTGAAAATGTCTTAAGTGTTCGAAACTCAGAGGATCGGTAGCTATAGTACAAAATATTCAAAGTATAGAAAAATCTAAATATTAAATTGTGAGTAAATAAAAATGTGGAGTGAAGAACACATGGTTGTAGGAGGGTCCCAAAGAAAAACAGACATATAAAGCTTTAAATATGCAAAAAATTAACACATATATGTGTGTGTACACATATGCATGACATAAAAATCTCTGTGGCACAAAGGCCAACAAGTTCAGGACAATGGTCACCCCTTGGGGAGCAAGCTGGACAGAAGGGCAGTACATGAGAAGGGGAACTCAGGAAGTTTCATTTATACTTTATTTTTGAAGTTGGGAAGTGAGTACAAAGTATTTTTGATTTTGTTATACTTTTTAAAATCTTTATTATAATAAAAAAGAGGACTGCTGCAAGTTCAAGGCCAGCCTGGGCTACATAGTGAGACCTGTCTCAAAGACAGGGGAGAGGAGGGGCCGTGAATATAAACCAGTGGCACAAGTGACTGCCCAGCAAGCACAAGGTTCTGAGTTCGATTCCTAGTTCCTAAAAAAGTGGGGAGGGGAACACCAGGACCTGAGCCTGAATTATTCTCTCACGGTGGCCTCCTGGGCTTTCCAGGCCTCAGTTTTCTTTCTAGGAGCTGGAAACAGTTGGGTTTAACAGTTGAGGATCTTCAGGAAAGGCATCTGACTGCACGTAGGTGCCCTTCCAACACTAGGTTCAACTTGACTGTCGGTGTGACTGGCTTGACAGATGCCCAGGAGTTGAGTGAAGCAACTTCCCGGTAGGACTGGGTAGCTCAGGAAGGTGTAGTCTTGTGAAATATGTCTGGTCCCTGGCCCTGGCCTCTCAGTCTCTGCTCCTGTCCTCTCCGCTCTGCTCCCTGGCGGCCTGAGGCAGACAGCTGTCCTGTGCCACACCCTTCTGCTGTGATGTTTCTGCCTGCCGCCAGTCAACCATGGACTGAACCTCTGAAACCGTGAGTCACGATAAATCCTTCCTCCGTGAAGCTGTGTGTGTCAGGCACTTCGGCTAGCTATAACCCCAGGACTGTGGTTTTGTGCAGAAAGCTGCACTGCTCCACTGTCTCAGCAACTCCAAATCCACCCCGGCTGGCTGGAACTCTTCTGCTCTAAGTCCTTGAGCGAAAAAGACCAGTTTGTCTAGTAGCCCACCTGCGGAGCTGGCTTCACAGCCAGGATGTACAGAAGACAAGGAAATCAAGTCACAGTCAGCCCTTCTCTTCACCCTTCTCACTTTTACATTCATGGATTCATGTACTTGGGTTAAAAAAAATTACACATTAAAAATGTCACTAACAGATGGGGGTTTAGCTCAGCAGCGTAAGTGCCTGCCTGGCAAGCACAAGGTCGTAAGTTCGATCCCCAGTACCAAAAAAAAGTCACTAACATTTTTTTTCTTTGTGTGTGTGTGTGTGTGTGTGTGTGTGGTGCTGGGGACTGAACATCCAAGGGCTTTGTGCATCCAAGGCAAACATTTTCATATGAACAATTAATGACATGACAAAATGTCAGTGGTACACAATGTTAAATTAAAAGGATATATAAATGCAGTATGCCTGGTACATCCAAATTTGATGCAAAAACATAAATACTGAAAGAAAATACATCTAGGTGATAATATCATTGGTAATTTCAATTTTCAATTTTTCCATAATGAGCATTAATTACAGTTATAATCAGACTGGGGTTTTTTGGTTTTGTTTTATTTTACTTTGTGTTTTTGAGACCGACTAGACTTGAACTCACTATGTGGCTCAGGTGGGCCTTAAACGTGTGGCCACCTTTCTACCTCAGACACCTGCGTGCTGGGATTACAGGCATGCACCCCCACACCCGGCACCAACAGACTTGTTATGCATCACTAATGTGGGCTGGTTTGAGCTACACACATTTTTATGCCCTTCTCCGACTCCAGTACCCACTGTGCAGAGGAGCAGGGGCCACCCTGAGTCAGCATGGAAGACAGCAGCCTTCTGAGATCCGTTCACTCAGTCACGTCTGCAACAACACTCTTACAAAGGCTTCCCAAGCACGGTTCACCACGTCGGGAAGAACAGACACATTGCCGGAGACAACTCAGAAGCTCCCGAAGAGCTGCAGAAGGAAATGGAGTCAGTCATGGCTGGCAGCCTTCAGTCTCTGCCGAAGGAACAAGAAAGCTCCTCCTGGGGCAGCTCCGCAGCCCACGGCGGGATGAGACACGGTCCCTTCCACCACACTAGCGTCCCTCCATGTCCCTCCATTCGTCTGCTGAAGCTGCCATGGACTGCACAGGTACAGGACACTGATTTCTCACTGAGCTAGCAGCTGGGAAGCCCCAGATCAAGGTGCTTTCTGGTTCGAGATGTCCACTGCCCGCAGACGGTGGCTTCTCATTTCTGTCCTCAGTACATGTGTGGGGAGACAGCAAGAAGCCAGCTCTTTCATGCATCTTCTTATAAAGTCACTAACCCTATCAGCCTCATCCTTATGACCTCATTTAACCCCAGTTACCACTTCTGGGCCTCATTTCCAAAGACAGTCACACTAGAGTGTAGTTAGGCTTCCATGTAGGTCCAGTCATCATCCTAAACCCACGCCTACCGCCCCCACCCAGCACAGAGCTCAGGGATTCATTTGCTCTCCCACCTACTGCGTGAGCAGGCAAATGCCTGAGTTTAGGACAGCGATATGAAGCTTTTAGAGCTTTCAGTGATAGCAAACTGCCTGCTGCAGCACAGGATGCCTGCCTCCATGGCCTACGGTGCAAGGGTGCAGGGGGTGGAGGGGATGGGCACTTAGCAAACCCAAAGCCATAAAGCTAGGCAGAGAAAGCTGTGGCTTGGGGTGCACCTCAGAACACACAGATGGGAGCGGCCCAAATGCCCAC